ACAAAATATAGTAAACTTGAACTCATCACTGAAATGAACTGTATCCCATTGTGTGTCAGTCCAAACAACACGTTCTCTTGCATACTCCAGGCGTGCCCTTTGGTTTTGCTTTGAAATGAGAGGCTTCGAAGCTGGAATACAGGCATGCAATCCTGCATTTTTTAACCTGCGAGCAACTGTTTTCCTTGAGATCTTATCTGTCTCTTCATTAAATTTACGGGCAATTGATGTAGCAGTTTCAAAACGTTTTTTTGTAGATATTCTAACAATTCTTCGATCTTATCTTTGCAATGTTTTTGGAGGTCTGCCGGTTTTTGGTTTTGCATCTAACGTTTTATCGGTTTTATACCAGCTAATTACACGATGAACGACACTTTTAGACCTATGAACAATATCAGAAATTGACTTTTTTTCTTGATAGCGATAATGAGTTTTTTTTTCTTCAAAAGAGTGTTTTGCGTGTAGAATTTGCCATACTGCTTAAAAATAAAGTCCTAATGATAAATGAACATTTACTTATTGTTGAAAAGCTCCATCGAGTTTTTTAACAATGCAGATTAAAAGTTTATGCAAATTATTAACATTGTTCCTTAACTTTTGTCCAGTAGCTTATTTTCTTTGTTCCATTTAATCTTTATTTAAAAAAAAACAAAAAAACAAAAAAAAAAAAAAAACTATTATGTAAATTTTTGTATCTTTGTATAATATTTATGCATTACACCCTAATCTTTATTCGGTAAAAATTTCATTGCTAATTATGCATTACTTTTTAAGTAATACACATATTTATGTCTTTGTTGTTTCCGTTCCTTATTTTATGGCCGCTACTTATATATATATATATACACATACAGAGATTTAACTGAAAATACTTGAACAAAATAGAGCAAAACATAACCATTGGACAGCTTTTATTATTTTGATCCTGATTTACAGGATCTTGTCAAGCAGCGGTTGTGTATATATGTGTATCATAATTCTAGTTTGTTTATGCAGGATTTGGATGATAATGTATATTTGCTTGTTTGTGTGTATGCATCTAATAGGCATTTTTATCCATGTTTTGTGGTTGTCCACATGTTGATTTGGGGACGTTTTGTGTGAGGGTGAAAGAATTTCAGTTACGCCGATTATGGTAGCAATATTCTAGATGCAAGGGAGGCCTGCTTAAACAATGAGAAACAAACAACACAAACATTAAAAATACCAGAATTTTCTTTTTTTGTTCCCTATTTCATTCTCTGATGAAGCTTTAATAAAAAGTGAAACGTTAAATTTATAAACGTTTCCTATTTGTTTCTTATATATATAGTAAAGGCAACAAATCCATTGGTATATAATCCAAGTGGATCCTAGTAAGATAAAATATTAAAACTGATCCACAAAAAGAACTCAGTTTATTAATACAGAGTAATAAAGAAACAATTAAGTCAAAAATTACCTCATATGGGGAATAGCCTATTTCAGCAGACAAAAATATTGGTCGTCTGTCTTATCAACCCCAGTGTGGACTAAGGGGGGGGGAGAATAGAATTTAACTGTGAAAGCTAAAAAAAAAAAAAAAAAAAAAAACCAACCTGTCAAAAATCAAATACAGAATTTATCCATTTCAATGTTTCAGTCAGACGAAAGGCACAAGATAGGGGAAGGGTGGAAGGTATTTGTCTTAAAGGGAAGAAGTTTTATAAAATTAAACCTGAACATTAACCTTATGACATTAATTTGGGATTAGATGAAGAATGAAATATTAATTTAAAATTAAAAGAGGAATAAAAAGAGGTCTAAAACTAAATTTAAAATATACAGCTAAAAGACAGACAACTGCTATTTTCATCTGCCAAAATAGGCGATTCTCCATATGAGGTAATTTTCCATTTTATTATATATATATATATATATATATATATATATATATATATATATATATATATATATATATATATATATATGTGTGTGTGTGTATTTAATTGATTGTTGGTCAGAGTGGAGTTTAATCAGGGGAGGTTGTATTAAAAAGTGCTCTATACATAATCCAAAAAATTGAACGTGCAGAGCTTTAAATATTAAAAAATTAGGAATCACTTGCTAGCATGTAAGTGATTCCATATATGTGTGTGTGTGTTTGTGTGCGCATGTATGTTCTTTATCCTTTAAGCTAGATTATACCAATTCAAAACAAAGAATATATCATCAGAAACTATTGTGATTGAAAAGAAATATTATAATTAAAATTTGAAGAACAATTATATTAGATGTGTGCAGATATTCTCAGCACTTTTTTTTTTTTTAAATACAAAAAACTGGCATCAACTTTTGGACACATCCAGTGTATTTTTCTTTTAATTCCCCAGATCAAAATCCCTTTTTCTTTTTCTTGAGACATCTTTGTTAATTTTGGTTTGAAGAGTGTGACCTTTTGAGCCTCTTGAGTTGGCAAGGATGTTGGCATGAAGTTAGAGGATGCAGAAGACACTTGTTAAAAAAAAAAAAAAAAAAAAAAAGAAAGACATTCTAGACACTTTGATTGTTTGCTTCCTATTTTTCATTTTTTTTTTTTTTATTAAGTGGTCACATTCTGCAAACTAAATGCAGGAGTAGAATATGTTCGCTTATTTGTACTTTCAATAAATCCTTTTATTCAGATAATTTAAAAAAAGAAAAATATAAAAAAAATTAGTAAATTATCAAAGAAAAACATGTTAAATCCTGACTTTAGAAGATTTTATATTTTTTGCTTAAAATTTGTGTCTCTTTAAATTTATAACAAAAAAAAAAAAAAAAAAAAAAAAAGAAGAAAACAATGAAAACAGAATTATATAGAATAATGGTTTTTAACATTGACAGGAAGCCCACTCTTAAGGGAAGTGCTTAGCAATAGGAAAACAATCGGCCAAGAAGACTTGTCAATACTGTCACTGAGGGGAGGAGGATTTTAACTAATATCAAAAGAAAAGCTAGAAAAGAGCAAAATGTTGGTAAATTTAGCTGCAAATAAACTGGGTTTTCTTTTTCTTGTCTTAGCAACTTTTATTAGTCACTAGACTACCCATGACCAATTGGGTTACTGTTGGTTCAGCTTATAAAACAGTGAAGATGATTTTAACATTCCATTAAAAGGAAAGTTAATTATGATTCAGTTAGATATTTCCATTCTTTTGTGTCATCATTGACCTGGTTTACAAGTTCATGTTTAATGTTTTACTGATTGTTTACAGCATTTAATAGGAATAGAACTTCTGGGATTAACTTGAACTTTAAATCAGATTAACTTAAAAAATTTTTTTTAATATGCCAAAAAATATTTTAAAATCATATTTACTTGAAATTATTTTTTAAATATGCCAAAAATATTTTTTAAATAATTAAAATATTGTTTAAAGAAAGCTGAAATATAAATAATTACTCTGCAAACAACTGGACAAAACAGTAAAGCAGGATCTGTGTCTGTCTTTAACTTAAAAATGTTTTAATTAAAAAAATTGTCTGTTTGAAGAAAATTAAAATGAAATACTTATATAAACAACTCGTAAATCATTATGCACTGAACGGACGCACCACACAAGCAATCACAGATTTTTAGTATTATATAGTCATTTTATGATACATTAGAAAATATAGCAAAAATTCAATAAGGATATTTATACATAAGAAAAACTTGCTATAAATTAATTATTATACAAGTCATATATTTCAAATAAATTCTTTATATTAAAAGTTTATAATTAACCTTTCATTTTTAACACATTCTTTTTGTTATTTTGCTACCAGAATATTTCAGCAGATCCTTCCTACAGCCTTCTTCACTTGCACAATCCATACAGAAAGGAGGAGGAAGATCTTTTCTTTTGTAAAAGACAACCAAATTGTATATCTGAAGACTGTAGAATGGATTAGATGGAACAAAATAAAAATATAGATGTTCAATAATCTGAACAACAATTGGAATGGTAATGACTTCTCAAAATGTTTTAATAATTTGTAATAATTTGTTCAACAATTTAGAAAATATAATTTGTTCAACAATTTATAATATATAATTTTATATTTTGCCATATAAAACAAAATAAAAATTATCAAATCAAAATAATTAGATAGTTTTTTGAAGTCAAATACTATTATAAATTTTAAAGACAGTGTAATGGTTAGCAAGCGACTGAGTAGTGAGTTCGATCCTCACTAGGTGCCCCCTACTTTCAGCTTTGTGCCACATCTAAGCTACGCTTGGAAAATCACTACTATAAATTTAAAATTGATAAAACCTTATATATTTACAAATATTCTAATATTAGTATCTTTTAATTATTATTTCTTTTTATTAATTATAATAAACTAAATATGCAGGAAAAAAATTATATAAACAAATAATTAAAATAAATAATAACAAAATAAATATTAAAATCAAAAATTAAAATACAAAACTAAATAAATAAATATAGATTCCCAAGAATACAATCAGTAATTTTGAATATCATGCTAATTTAAATATCTCTAATATTTGATAAACAATATTATATTTTGAAACATTTAATAGGTTTATTTTCTTAAGATTTTTATACAAATGCCTTTGATAAGAGTAAAATTCTTAACTACATAAACAATTTCAGATTAAATGTCTAAATGTTTTTACTATTTTCAAGTTTTCTGGATATCAATAATTAATGATTCCTTATGTAATTTACAATAAATAAGAAATATGATATCTGTTAATGAATTCAATAGGTTTGAATTTTTTTATCTATTTACTATTTATGCTTTTTAAATGGTTGTATTAAAAAATAATTTATAAGATTCAGAAAAAAATACATAAATATCTAATTTTATGCTAAAATAAAAATTGCAAGTTGTCAAAGTTCTTCGATTTAGTTGCAAACAACAGTTTATAAAACCAGTCTTGAAAAAAAATCAAAATCTCTGACAGCATATCCACAAACTGATAGCAGCAAATTCAAAACAAGCCAAACAATGGCAGCTGTTGAACTTCAAATAGAGAGAAAACATACCTCAATGTAGTTGGCATTTATATAATCACTACCATGAACATTAGGCAGGGATGACAATTTCACTCTTGTGGCATCATCTGTGGGGAAGAAATTAAAACAAAAAGATCAGGAAAATAAATAGAATATTTCAAATGAACAAGTGACCCTCAAACCTAGTAGTGGAGGTATAGAGGGTCCTTATTAACTCCTCTTTTTGATTTGAAATACAAGTTTAGATACTTTGAGGTTTATTTTATCTATTGCATTGACCACAGTTGAGATCATAGAGCCATAGTTAATTCCATAATCCTGTTCATAGCTGCATTATCAGTTTTTTTTAAAAATTTTTTTTACAATGATGTACAAGGCACAAGAGCCAATCGAGGTAGGGGATTACAGAATATGAATTCATGGGGATATGTGGGGGCAGATAACAGTTAATCCTAGACTTGAACATGTTATGATTGTAAGGAAGCATCCTCTTGGGAGTCAGTTCCGCAAAGCAATAGTTTGTGGGAAGAAGTTGCTCAAGTGGAAATTACATGTTACCAATAAAATATGAAATGAATGAAAGTGGTTCCCAGCAATGAACGTGGTATGTTAGATCTTAGCCGTAAAGGTTAGAATGAAATAAAATCTGTAAATACAGTAAACATATAGAACACGATACTGCAGGAGTAATGCAGGCCATTATTACTGTATTAAGTTAAATATTCAATAAATGCTCTACTACTATGACCTTGTACCAGACTATGGTAAGTATAGTAAATATCAATAGAGTAAATTAATAAATTATATATAGAGTAAATTTTGTATTAGTTTTAAATAAATTCTTTTCAATTGAGTTGGTAGATGCACCTAATTTTATCAAGATAATTTGTGTAATTCATTTTGTTTTTATAGATTTTGTAAGCTTTATATTTTGCATTATGCAGGTAATAATTTGGATATTAGGACTTTAAATATATTTTCAATGAATTTTTTTTGTGTCAATTTGGGGACTACAAATTTTATGTTCTCTTGAGTAGAAATATATAAATATATTGGATTTTATTCTATTGTGAAATAGATTGAGATTGAGTTGAAATTATTTTTATGTTAGTAGACACTAAAGATAAAAATTATGGAAAATAAATTATTTCATAAGATAAGAGTAAAAAGAAGATGCAAGAAAAAATAATTTTTTTTTTTTTTAACTCCTAAGAAGCTCATTTGCCCATTGACACCAAAGATGAAATTATGTGCTCCACAAAAGACAAAGTTTATATTTCCAAATGTGAAAAATCTACACTGAAATTCATAATAAAATTCCTATACAAGTTGTCAATGTTGAGTTATGACTAGAGTGTGTTGTACTGAGGGTGCCCTAAAACTGAGCTTGAGGTATATGCAGAAATGCCAGGAGCTGAAGCAGAAATTGTTATACACCATGCTGGGAACTATTGACGCTGCCAGATACCAGACACACCAACTTATGACTGTAGTCATAAAGTCAAACTGTCATAAGTCACATAGGTTGTAAGTTCAGGATGACCCATCAGCTATAGCTGGAAGATGATTGCTTTCACTTACAAGGTTGGGGAGTGGCTAACAAGTATATGAAGACAATCCGAGCTAAGTCTTTGTAGTATAACAAGTGCACAGTTTTGTAGTTGGCTGCCCTAATATTTTTACATGTTCTCCTGCATACTGTCAGTAAAAAAAAATTTGAGAAGCACTAGTATTTGGAACTGTTCTGTAAAAGCTTGTGAAAAAAAAGAAAGAGAATTAAAAGTTTTAATTTAAAACTATTTATGCAACAGCATTATTTGAATCAATAACAATAATAAAAAGTTTTGGTGTGATTGCATAAGATGTTGGAAAATTAGTCAATTCTCTATACCGCCCCAGTAAATACTTGACTCTTCGTGTTATCCACTACCGTTACAAGAATCATATCAAGCCTAAAATGGAGTACTGTTGTCATATATGAGCAGGAGCTGCAGAGTCTTCACTATCCACTCTCAATGGAGTTCAAAAGTGTTTCTGTGCCCTTGCAGGTGACAAATTAATTTCCACCCTACAACCCTTTCACTATAATCTTAAATTGTTCAAGTCTAGGGTCAACCGTTATCTTCCCCACATATTTCCATAAACTGGGCCTCTTACTCTGTAATGCTCTACCTCGAGTGGCTCTCAGGCTTTCTATGGAGTGAACATCACTGTAAAAAAAAAAGAAAAAAAAAAAAAGAAACAAATTTGAAAAATATCAAGGGCACATTTTTAAAAAAAAATGAGATTTCTCAAATATTCTTTCTTTGTGAATTTGTTCTGCCAGTCCACAAGAGGTGGAAGGAAGTTGAGATATTTCCTGATGTCTGCACTTTAAACTAAGGCCTGTAATAACTTATAGTAAAAAAGAAAAAAAACAAAAATAAATTGTCTTTAATAATAAATAAGGAAATTAACTGAACAGATTAGCAACCAGATAATCTGTATCAGTCAGGCATTTAAGAATTAATTGTTGATGATACTTATTTTCAATTATCTGGTTTTAATTAAATACTGAAGCATTGTGGTTATGTTTACTTTTAGTTACAATTGATTTCTACCTAATGGTAATGTCTTTTTCCACCCAGCTCATTAACAAATTAACTGACTTAGAGAAACTTAGATCTAAATCCAAATTGATTACTCAAAGGTTTAACAATATATCATAAGTAGTGTGTGTGCGCTTGTGTAATATATATATATATATATATATATATATATATATTACATACACACACTACAGTTCAAAAGTTTGAGGCAACCTGGTAATTTTTTTAAATTGGTCAAAAAAAAAAAAAAAAAAAAAAAAAAAAAAAGTATTTGTTTTGTACTTTAAATAAGAAAAAAATGATTATACATGGTTAAAAGAAAAAGTGAGATATGACTTATTAGATATTTTAATAAAATTGACAAAAAAAAAGAAAAAAAAAAAAAAGAAGCATTTTATGATCAAATTTTGCCCTCATCAAAATATCCTCCATTAGTCTTGATTATTGCAGCACAAATTTTTAACATTCGTTGCAAAAGTTTCTCAAAGTGTCATAATTGATTGATTCATTTTTTTTTTGGATGACTAGAGCTCTTTTTCATTCCCCCCTCCCCCACTCTTCTCTAAAGTTCATCCCATGCTAATTCTGGAGGTAGCTTCAAACTTTTAAACTGTGGTGTGTGTGTGTGTGTGTGTGTGTGTGTAGTAGTAGAATTTCAGACGACTTGAATGTGCTGTTAAAGTTGCCTGAAGATCACATGAGCATGAAACTCATGTTATGACTAGAGCCATCTACATAGGATTTAACGTTGGTAAGCAATCTAGGTTCTGAGCACTTTACTGAATAGGCAAGTTTGCTTTTAGAGAATATGAGAAAAAAAAAAAAAAAACATTAAGGAGAGAGAACAATAAAATAACAAGAATTAAGACAACAGACAAAAACAACTGACATTGCAAAAGCAAGAAACCAGAAGAGAGTTCCACAAGTGATAAATGAAAGAGAAGAAACTGTTAGCATAGAACTTACAGTTACATCTATAGCCATTTCAATTGTAAAATGATGACACATTACTGCCAATCTAGTACTGGGCTTAAATTCATTTCAAAGTGACATAATATATAATGATTAAATAGAACAGTAGGCATTGAATATTTGTATGTGTTGATATTTTAATCAAGTATTGGTTTCAGGAATATTGGTGATCTGGAAAATATTTAGAGAGTATTTATGACATGTTGATTATTTATAAATATTCTATTTAGGTATTTTCTCCATAATGGGTTGTGGTTCTTCTCATGCAGCATCTACACAACCAATGAAAAGAAAACGGAATGTAAAAACATCACTCCATATTATTCCCCTCCCAAAATTTCCGAAAGTTAAACAGCAAAAAAAATCTGTTAAATTTTTAAAGATTTTCCTACTTGTTCCTTATTTAATCATTGTGACAGATTTGATTAAAACCTCCAACTCATACACACTGTGTGTGTGTGTGTGTGTGTATATATATATATATATATATATATATATATATATATTCAGATACAGACGTGGACAAGGATACAGATATGCAGGCGCGGACAAGGATATAAAGACATATATAGTGAGAGACACACAGACACACATATGCAGCTTAAAATTATAAAATTGAAAATGCAGAATTAAACTAAACGAAAAATATAAGACATAAAAAAAAAACTTGGAAAAAGTAGAAGCAATCAGAAAAGGGAAGAGCTTCAAGCAACCAACTCACATATGCAACTCACAAAAAACAGCAATTCCTTGAATTGAAAGATGGAAATGAGAAAGTTACCAAATGTGTGAAGAATACATTAAGGATAACCAAATCATACTATACAAATCTGTATACTGCACAAATAAAAATACTACCAACAATCACTCCAGCGGATTGTTGAAATAAGGCTTAAACCTTCAAAACGTTAAGTGCAGATAAGACAAGGTGAAGATTGCATAGTAACAGACCTTTTTGCAAGATACAAGAGAATTCCACAATGATTAGCACAATTTACACAGTGCATACTGAAAAAAATACAACAAAACTTAAGTTGAGGAATAGTAATCCTGCTTTATAAAAATGTTGATAACCTTGGAAACTAGCATATTACTATTGTGCATATACTAATTGTTCTCAAAAGTACTTACAAATATCCTAGATGAAAACTAGCCCTACAAATAGACAGGTTTTAGGAATGATTGCTTAACATCCTACAAACAATATGGATCAATTGACTGAAGAATCAGAATTTAAACTACTTTTAGATTTGGTTGTTGATATTTAACTTTGTAGAGCACATGAGTAGACTAACTACAAGAGCAGAGAATTAATGAAGGATAAATAAATATTATTGAGGATATACATGACAACAATACAGCAATACTTCAGACTACACCCTGACACGGATAAAATAAAAATTGAAAAAAAAAAGAAGTGAAGCAAAAAGGATATTATTTCATCGAAACTACAACAGACCTTGAAAGTCTCTTCAAGGAAATGAACCAAGAAGGGATTAAAATTAAACAGAATATTTGGACAATTTATGATTTGCTATGAAGGCACAGTGGAGTAATAGTTAGTGACTCTGATTGAGGAATTGGCAAGTCAAATTCAAATTCCAGCTGAGTTCATTACATTCATTTATGTACTAATACCCTTGGGAAAGGTATGAATCCATATCTTCTCCCCCATCAGCTATGAGTAAAGTAGAAGGACAGATTGGATCCTATAGCCTTGGGTGGCAACCAGTCTAGGACAAAGAAACTGAATTCAAAACAACTTACTGCCTTGTAGGTCCTGTCTCTTTAGGCAAAGTCACCAAAAAAACAAATTCATCTCTGAGAGGAGGAACTGATTAGCCTTGACATTCTCAGTGCAAAAAAAAAAAAAAAAAAAAAAAAAAAAAAAAAAAACTGGCAAGCCATTACACTATTCTGCCTTGAATGACACCATGAACCAAAATTGTGGGATGGAGGGGAGTGGTGACAACATTGGCACAAAATGCACTAACTGAATAAAATGAATGATTTGCTGATGATATTTTACTAGTATCAAAATCATTCGATGAAAAAAGGCCTTAATAGGAATAATCTCAATGCAGGTTTAAAAATGAATAGAAATAAAACAAATAATCAATAGTAATGTGACGTCGTTGCCGCGGCGTCAGCTGTGATGTGACGTGGTCCGGGGTTCTGATCCTATGATCACGACACCAGTTGACGCCGCGGCAACGACGTCACAACTGGTGCCGTGACCAGGACCCCATTGGCCGAGAGCGGTCACATGATGTGCGAGGGAGGAGGAAAGATGCCCGACCAGGACCCCATTGGTCGAGAGCGGTCACCTGACATACGAAGGACCAGGGGAAGCGGGTATACGCCCCCCCCAGAGGCACAGTAAGGAAGTAGGAGTGAAAGTAAGTTACCGAAAATGGAAAATCCCTAATCAGAAATAATACGTATTTAGGATTATCAAGAAAACCCTGGCGCCGACAGACCCACCCCAGTTTTTTACAGCGTCTCAATAAAAGCGGGACCCCAACCGACAGAAATCAGTTGGAGCTGCACCGCGGACGGTGAGGAGTTTGAGAGCGGGCTGCGGGCCCGGTTCATTCGCCCCTTTGGGGCAAGAAAGGCCGGTTCGATTTTGGCCTAAGAAGAGAAATTCGTCCAACCCAAGTCGAAGTGAGAAATTCGTCCAACCCAAGTCCGTCCAACCAAGTCAAAGTGAATAAATTCGTCCAACCCAAGTCGAAGTGAATAAATTCGTCCAACCCAAGCCGAAGTGAATAAGCTCGTCCAACGAAGCCAAAGAGAAGAAGTTAATTCGCAAGACTGACGGCAGAGATGAGTGAACAATAATTCAGACTCTGAAGAGAGAGTTAGTTGCAGCCACGGGACGGCGAGAGAAATCAGCCGTGAACGACAGGTAGAGATCAGCGCCCAGTGTTGAAACCAAACCACACCCCGAAATGCAAATTTCTAGAGAGCAAGCAACTCGAAGCCTTAAAGTTGTATGGTAGAAGCGTGGTACCACGGTCCACAGAACGGGTCGGGAGGTAGGAATAATCTTGTGTAACGAACAATTAGATATAAAAAGTTGTTACCTTTTTCTTCAATATTTTTTTGACCTTGTGAGTTTTATTTATCTTGTGTGTTATCACCCCCGTTGGACTCAGCTTGCATATGGCCCAATCCCTGTTTGATCCCATCTGTCTAAGATCTAATCACAGCGTGGGTAGACAGACCGGAGATCAGTGTAGTTACCCTGGTAACCAGGCGTTGGAAGCGGGTTGGGAACGACGAGGCTGGTATTCATCTAACCAAAGGGTTAGAACGTCACACTTGGAGCAGCGAGGAGCGAACAGCTGGCGTCGCGAACAGGATCGAACGACACAGTCGACGCTGCGACCAGGGGGGACGACGTCACAGTAACATTTTGAAAAATAACAGAAAAAGTGATTTCCTTTTTACAGCTTATCAACATTTTTAACTTGTAAGGATTCTTTTCTGGAGATAATGATTTACTGATACCAGTTCTACTAATTAACCCATACCTGGAGTGAGAAGAGGTGGATTCATATCATTCCCAAGGGTATTTTCATATAAGCAAATCTAAAAAACCCGACTGAAATTGGAACTCATCTCCGATTTCCAACTGAGCTGCTATCTATTACACCAGCTGCACATCTACTCTTACAGCACCTGGTATTCCCAAGTGGTCACCCATCTAGGAACTGACCAGGCTCAACGTTGCTTAACTTTGGTGATATTATGAGAACCAGTGTTTCAATGTGATATGGATGTAGGCCTGATAGAAGCCCAAGAATACATGTACTTTGGGTAGGTATCAACATTAAAAAAGGACAATGAAAAGGAGATGAAATATCAAGGAGGAATGTATTTAATAAAAACAGATAGGTTAACCCACAATGGGCCCTCCTCTGTCTTTGACAATTCAATCTCCACATTGTGTTTCAACTCATTGCACTGGTGTCTACAAAGACTGGGAAAAAACTTGCAGTATGCTCACAAGAACCTGAAGCCGAAATCAACATCAAGAAATGAAGACAGAAATTCACTTCAAAAATTTAGTGTTTATTACAGTTAGGTTCCCTGGTCTGACCCTAGTATTCTCTCTGGTAGTAGGTAGGTGAGGTGGTATATATGTCCCTCTGATTCTTCTTACTTCAGCTGAGCAACTGCTACCTACATGACAGGTTGGATGGACAACACCTCTCTGTGTCTAGCCCTAATTGGGATGCTATTTATATAGAGATGCGAGTGGAAATATCGGGCTACTTGATCCCCTTTTTCATTTATTTATTTTCTTCCCCAAAAGGTTGTCACTTTGAACTCTGAACTTCAAAGACTATCTTAAAAAAACAAAAAAAAACACTCCAATAACATCATTTGGGGCCCACTTAACATCGTGTGCTCAGTCAATTGTATGGGAGATTCATTGTTCCACAGAGATATAATGAAAAACGATCCTGCTAATATGCTTAATATATAAAATGTATAATGAGCTGTCCTTCTACATGGCCATGAAAGCTGAACAATCTCCTCAAAGATGAAGAAACTTGAAGCAACAGAAATGTAGTACTACAGAAGGATGCTGAGGATACCATGGACCAAATATATCAGCAATGATAAAGTTTTAGAGAAAATGGAAACAAAAAGGAAACTTATACTTACAATCAGGAAGAGACAGTTGAAATTTCTCCGACACATAATGAGGAAAGAGGGCTTGGAAAATCTGATACTCACAGGGCAGATAGTAGGCAAGAGGGACAGAGGAAAACAACATAACATATTTAGCGAGCTTGAGTAAGTGGATGCTGGAACAAAGTTTAGGAGAAATAACTAAGACAAAATTTATTAAGAACTACAAAGGACAGGAAGTTGTGGAGGACAATGATCGCTTATGTCCTGAGCTGACATGGCACATAAAGAAGAAGAATGTGAAAAAAGAAACTAAGATATTATATATCTCAAGTCTTATGGGGGAGGTGCTCTGAAAGTAATGCCTATAATTTATTTCCATGGGAACTGAAAGAGCAATGTCATAATGGATAAAGCAAGTTTCTAACTATAAAACATGATTTTTCCTGTCCCCATCCTTGGTTAGGCATTTTTGCCAGCAGTAAACAAGAGTTTTCATTTTGCGCCTTTGTGTTTCTCATGGCCCAGAGGAGTTTGCATGTTAGTCAATAAAATGAACCCAACTGAAATTAGAACTTGATTCTCTGATTAACAATTCTGAGCCATTTTCAGACAATGTGAATTTGGTGTGTATCACCATTGTGTGCCTCTGTGGGGTCTGCACAGAGGCACCTGTTGTTCCTCCTGTTCACTTGACCACTTTCAATAAGGTGGTTATCTCCAACTTGTTGTTGGTGGCTAATGCTATGCCTTTTTATATTCTGTATCAGATTGAAAGCTGCCATATTAATACCATACTCTCAATACATCTGAAAGAGAAACAAGAATACTAAAATTTGAACAATGCTATAACCCATATCTGGGGGAGAAGAGGTGCATTCATACCTTTCCCCAAAGTTATTTGCACTTAAATGAATATAATGAACCCAATTGGAATTTGTCTCTCCAACTAACAATTCCAAGCCATTATCCATTACACTGCCCACACATCCAACCTTACAGCACCTGGTATTCTTGAGTGGTCACCCATCTATTAATGACCAGGCTCAATGTTGCTTAACCTTGGTAAACATATGGGGACTAGTGTTTCAAGGCTATATGGCCTTAAGCCCATTATCTACTTGAGGGCTTCAATGTAGAAATCAGGAGATATACTGCTTCTATGTTTCTGGTCACATTTTTTATTGGTTGAAGGATTTCCCAATGAAATGGGATTAATCAATAATTTGATGGATGTTGTTTAAATAAAAAACAATCAAGATAAAATTCTTACATGTTCAGTTCTACACAATATGAGATAAACAAAAAATTTTTTTAGATTTTAATATTTTTTTTTTTTTTTTAGAGATAACGATTTAGTGACACAAGACTTAAAAATTAACCTATAGCTGGGGAAAGAAGAAGTAGATTGTAAGAATTTTCTTTCTTTTTTTTTTTTCTCTCTCGATAATAACGATTTAGTCATACAAATATTACTAGTTAATCCATAGCTGTGGGTAGATTTATACTTTTCCCAAGGGTATTTGCATGTAAGTGAATATAATGAACCCAACTGGAATTGGAACTCTCCGATTGACAATCCCAAGCCATTCTCAGACAATGTAAATTTGATGTATATCACCATTTTGTAACTCTGTGGGGTCTGCACAGAGGCACCTGTTGTTCTTGCTGTTCAATTGACCACCTTCAATAAGGTGGTTATCTCCAACTTATTGTTGGTGGTGCCTAATGCTTTTAGACTGAAAGCTGACATTAATATTGTCCTCTCAATATATTTGATAGAGAAACAAGAATGCCAAAATTTGAACAATACTATGTAGATTCTAGATTGTCTTCCTCTTAAAGTAAGTTATTTCCAGTATTCTCACCAGAAGAGGGTCAGGACCTTAAAACAAGGCAAATAAAAGTGACACTATCATAGAAAACTTGAAAATACACACATATAAAAATCAACATGCTTTAAGCCTAGTAACCTAGACATACAAGACTGAGTTCTACAGGCACTAGGTTATTTAAAGCCAGAAAATATTTTTGGATAAGAATTTTTTTTTTTTTTTTTGAGATGATGATTTAGTGATACAAGTCTTACTGATTAACCCATAGCTTGGGAGGAAGAGGTGGATTCATATCTTTTCCAAGAACATAAGTGAATGTAACAAACCCAATTGGAACTTGGCTCTCAGATTAACAATTTCAAGCTATTATCCATTACACCACCCACACATCCAAGCTTACAGCACCTGGTATTTCCAAGCAGTCACCCATTTAGGTATTGACCAGTATCAACATTGCTTAACTTTGGTGATCATTTGATATACAAGAAATATTGTGGAAGCCACCAATGAATAACATAAAAACACCCTGAAAAAGAAGACAGAAAATTGGCTGTAAGATATTTTTATTGATAAGAATTTAGTTACAATGGCAGCCGGTTGATCTCAATTTATATGCAATGATCCCTCAGTAGTTAATTAAGTGAGACATTAAGAAAGATAAAACAATATTTAACCAGGTCATATTTGTTTCCATATTCCACAGCAGTGAGAGAGCAAGAGAGAGAGAGAGAGAGAGAGAGAGAAATAAAGCAACTTAAGAAACCTATCGGTTTTACCCAGTGGCAGTTATAGCACTAACATAGTAAGACAAAATTAGTATCATCTTCCCTAATTATATCTAATTACTTGCCCTCATGTTGCTGGATAAGTTTTTAGAAAGGCAGAGGCAGAGAGGCACATGAAAAATAAAGTCAAGAAAATTTTACTCATAAAGCTGGGGAAAGAATTAATATATATTTCTATTCTTAGCAATCACAAAGTGTCTCTGGTTGTTAGACAGAATTATTGTGAAAATCTTGCAATGCCTGAAAGGTGGCTAGAAATCACGAGCCAAAAAGAAGACAAAGGAAGTTTGGTGACATGTATGCTGTAAATCAACACCAATGCTAATTTTGGCAATAAAATGACGATACTAGCAAAATGATCATTTCAATGGTGGAAAGTACTTGCTTATATCCGTTTTTGCCTAACACAAATCTGTATAAGCAAATCTCATATAAAGTGTCGAAATGCTGTGTGCATGTATAAAAATCAAAAAATATAAGCAGTAAATTGCTAATACCCCTAAAGATTGGACAGACAGGTCCACCTACGAAACTCTGGAGTCAGGATGCTGGAGTGATCAATCAGCTCAGTGATACACAGAAAATTATATATTCTGTGTATTTAAGTAGCAAATCTTCTTTAAGGAAAATATTAATAAAGGCAACAGATATTTTGTGTCGATTGATTTTAATGGTTGATTTTTCAAAATTATGAATATTCCTTTTCAGACAAGGAAGAAATTCTGTCAGAAATTATCCAAAGTTCATTTTGGAAGAAAAGTACAAAAAATACAGTCCAAGTTTTCAACTTTCTTAAGTCATCATCAAATTAGAAAGAGACAACTTTGATTTTCAGAGAACTAGGAAGTGTTGTGACATGAACTTTGGGCAATTTCTGATGGAAATTATTTGTAATTTATAAAGGTCAATCATTAAAATTAATTTCCACAAAATATCAGTTGTCTTTAATTTATGTTTCCCACTTTTGTTCGGATTATATATCTGACTAATGTACATATATGATAAAAACAGTTTTTAAGATACACTATATTTATGGGTTAGAGTGCTCAATATTGTTAGAAAAATATGTGCCTTCCGGCAGGACTTGAACCTGTGTCCCCTCGAGGAAACAGTCATTAACTCTGACATGCCTTAACCTCTCAGCCATGAAGAAACTTCCGGGCATATTTTTCTAATATGATTTCTCAAATATTCAGGCCAGTAGATGGATATAAATAAATATACTGTTTAATAAATAAATAAAAACACAGCATCTACTCAAATAGGAAGTATCCATTAAAATAATCTTTAAGTAATAGATTAATATATATATATATATATATATATATATATCTCGAGAAGTATAAGCAGTCAATTGCTGATAGCCTTGATGAGTTGATGGAGTAATTCTCTGAGTGTCCATCTATGAAACTCTGGAGTCACAGTGTTGAAGGTAATATCAATCAACTAAGTAATAAAACTATATATATATAAATATATATATATATATATATATATATATATATATATATATATATATAT